CGCGCGAAGAGGCACGGCTGAGAGTCAGGGTTTGTTTCTTTATAAAGGAATGAAGCGGCCGCGGCGAGGGGAGGATTTGGCCGCGTGTTGGTCGCTCCGGAAAAGGGGCGGCTGAGATGGTTTGTGCAAAGGATTCCTGTTTGGGTAGCAGCTCGCACGCGCCCTTCCCATCGGCTCCCGTCACCGCTCCCGTCTCCTCCCAGGCCTGACTGGCAGCACCCTTTTTATCTTATTTTAATTTTATTTTTTTAATAAAATCAATATATTTTATTGATTTTTCACAGAGAGGAAGGGAGAAGGATAGCGAGTCAGAAACATCGATGAGAGAGAAACATCGATCAGCTGCCTCCTGCACGCCCCCTACTGGGGATGTGCCCGCAGCCCAGGTACATGCCCTTGACCGGGATCGAACCTGGGACCTTTCAGTCCGCAGGCCGACGCTCCATCCACTGAGCCACACCGGTTAGGGCTTATTTTCATTTTTAAGTCCTCACCCGAGGATGTTTTTCATTGACTTCAGAGGAAAGGAGAGAAAGAGGCATCAATCGGTTGCCTCCCTTACGTGTCCCTGCAACCTGGGTCCACGCCCTGACGCAGACTCGAACCCACAGCCGACGGGTTGGTGCTCCCACCACCTGAGCCGCATGGGCCGGGACCGCTGGCAGCATCCTTGAAGCCCAGGCTCCCGCCCACAGAGGGTGGAAGGTGTGGGGAGGGGAAATTCTACCCCCTAGGCCCCCGTCCCCCCAAGAATTTGGCCAAGTCCACGGGAAGCAGATGAGCAAGAGAAAACCAGGTTCCGTTTCCGCTGCCTGGAACCCCAGAAACAGTCAGAGACGCCGCGGCTCGAGAGGTGCCGAGACAGGATGAGGAAGTGGGTGAGCGGCTGAGCCCAGACCGCGGGGCACCCCGAGGGGGGCCCCCTGCACCCACAGAGGCCATGTCGTCTGTCCGTGATGATCCCTCCTCTCAGCCTGCGCCCCGGCCCAGCTGCGAAGTGTTCGAGCGCCGGCCTCTGGGTCTAACACCATGTGTCTGTCGCTGCCGTCACAAACCACCAGACTAGTGGCTGAGAATCACACACGTTTACTCTCAGCTCACGAGGCCCGAAGTCCAACATGGATGCCACTGGGCGGGCAGCAAGGCGCCGGCAGGGCGGCGTCCCTCCTGGAGGCTCAAGCGTCCTTGGCCATCAGGCCGGTGACACCGTTCAGACCCAGTGGTTGTGGGGCTGCGGCTCGTTCCTTGCAGGCTGCCACCTGCAGGCATGCCCAGCCCTCGCGGCCCCGGACCCTGGACCCTGGACGGTGGGGACCCTGAACGGTGGGGGCTCCCCATCTTGGAAGCCAGTGGCAGAGGCAGAGCTTCCCTTCTGCTTGGAAGGACTCATGTGGGTGCCTGGGCCACCAAAACAACCCAGAGTGATCTCCCTACTGTAAGGTCTTTAATCTTTTTTTAAAAAAAATACATTTTTATTGATTTCAGAGAGGGAGAGGGAGAGAGAAACATCAATGATTAGAGCCACTGATTGGCTGCCTCCTGCACGCCCCCACTGGGGATGGAGCCTGCAACCCAGGCATGTGCCCTTGAGTGGAATCAAACCTGGGACCCTTCAGTCCGCAGGCCGACGCTCTATCCACTGAGCCAAACCAGCCAGGGCTAATCTTTTTAAAATATATATTTTTATTGATTTTTAGAGAAAGTATGGGAGAGGGAGAGGGAGAGCAAGAAACACTGACATGAAATTGAGCCTGCAACCTGGGCATGTGCATGGGATGGGCGATACCCAACCAACTGAGCCACACCAGCCAGGGCTTAAGGTCTTTAATCCTAGTTCTGCCTATAAAGTTGTTTTTGCCAAGAATCGTATCATATGTGCTGACCCCCACGGGTACCTTGAGGGGCTACGATTCTGGCTGCACCCCTCCCTGCCCCCCCTGCCCCCCAGAGCCCCTCCTGTCTCCTGAAGTCCCGACCACCCTATGGTTCCCCGACCAGGCCCTCAAGTGCTGCTCTTTCCGACAGGGGCACTCTCCCCCCATCGCCGATTCAGGGCCAGCCGCCTCTGCAGAGTAGTTTTGCCTTTTTGAGTCGGTCCCACCACCGCTGCCACCCTCCCCTGTTGGTGAGTGGGCGAGGAGGGGCCCGCAGTGTTCTGCACATCAGCCAGCAGGCCGGCACACAGTAGGTGCGCGGTAAACCTCGCGGAGTGTCGACGTGGACCTAACAGCAGGCTGATGACGCGCTCAGCCTCCGGTGCCCGTGACGGACTCCCCGGCCTGTGCGTCCGCAGGATCGAGTCATTTTTGAAAACGCACACAATTAAGAGAGTCCAACCACACCCAGTCAGGCCCTCTGTCCTCTCCCACTGGGACACCCCTCCACCCTGCTTCCCCCTGTGTAGGTGACACTGGAGGGGCTGTGACATTTGGGGGTGCAGCCAAGAGGAAGGTGAATGGAGGACTGTCGCTGGTTGGGTTCTCTGGGAAGCACACTCTAAGGGGGAGCTCAGGATGTTTTCGGGGAGTCCTTGGGCCCCATGAGCCCCGCTGTGTGAGGCTCTGGGCAGCTGGGGGGCAGCACGTCTACCACAGGAAGGCACGTGGTTTGGGTTTAGAGGGACATGGTGTTTGCTCCACGCCTGTGTCTCAGCGCATTGTCCCTGCCTGTCCGTGGGAATGGCCTCTAGCCCCCCCGCCCCCCCGGGGCCCAGGACGGAGGCCAAGGTCCTCCATTTAGAACCTGCCCCAGCGCCCAAGGCTGGAAACGGGGGGCCGAGAAGGAGTCTGTGGACAATTACTCCAGCTCACACAGCGTCTCTTATGAGAAGCGTTGCTGGAAGTTTCTCCGATTTGCCAACAGCCCAGGCCATCGGTGTGACCGCACCCACAGCATGCAGGGAGAGGCATGTCCTAAACCACCAGTAACCGAGACACAAACCTCACGGCGTGTTAGGACGGAGTGCCACCCCCCCCCCGCCTCTGTGTGGAAAACCCTTCTGCAGAGGCCACAGAAGGGGGGCGGGGGGGCAGGGGGCGTCAGAAATGTTGGGGGACCCAGACGTGCTCTGGTCCTGGGCCTCGCGCTGCAGTTTCACCGACGCTTTAACGTTTGTCGTTTCTTTCCTCGTCATTCCAGCGCACTTGCTTCTAGTTTTGCATTCGTAATGCCATGTTGTGTTTCTAAAACGGAGACCCTAAGAGTGCACGGGGCTCGGGGGCCGCATGCCGGGCTGCCTGCCGCAGGAGGGAGAGAGGAAGGGGTGAGGGTCCCCTTGGGAGGCCCTGGAGCAAGGGCCACTCAGGTGCCAGAGCACAGGTTGGAGACACCACCGAGGGGGAGGCCCCGGGGCTCCCCGCCTCCCCTCCCCTCCCCTCCCCTCCCGCCCCAGCTCAGGCCCTGAAGTCCCGCTAGCAGCCCTGGCTGGTCATCACCTCTACGCCTCCCTCCCTGGTCCACCAAGTCTGACCGGATGGTCAAGTCTCCTCCCACCGCCCTGGGGCCTCCGGGAAGCCCCAGAATAGCAGCTGTACTTCTGGGTGACACCCTTAGGGAGGCGGGGGCAGTGGGGGGGGCAGTGGAGCAGTGAGTCAGCTGCTGGTTCGACACGTAGGAGGGACCCAGGGAGACACACAGTCCCAGCCGGGCCCAGCGCCTCGGGCCTCCCCCCAGTGCCCGCCAGCGGAGGCGTGTTGGTCACCCACACGGGGTGGGAGTGCCCTTTATTTGCCGGGGCTGCTGCGCGGCCAGATGCTGCAGGTGGCTCTGGATCTGGGCCAGGAGGGCGTCCAACATGTGCAGGACCGTGACCAGCAGGGCGTGGTCGGAGATGGGGGTCCGCCGCTTACTGAGTCCAGGGGTGTGAGCGGGCACCTGCAGGAGCTGAGTAGGACCAAGAGGCAGAGTGAGAGCAGAGGGGTGGACAGGGGCGCGACGAAGGGCCCCCCTGGGGGTGGGGCTGGGGCGATGGGCTGGTGAGGGGGGAGCTGGGTGACGGAGGGTCTGTGGGCGGGAGTGGCCATGGGGCCCCTGGGGGCTGGATGAGGACTAGGCATTGAAAGGAGACGGAGGGGCGGGGTCCTGGCCCTGGGGCACGGTCAGGGATCAATGGGTGTGGACATATGTACGGACCGTGGGGTGTAGGGGGCAGCTTGGGCCCCACAGATGTGGGTAGGAGGCTGG